CCCCCTTCCTCCACCCACACCCCCTCCCCTACCCACTTTGATGCATTTTTCAAATTTCGCCTTGGGGCGGAGTTATCTTTTCACAGGGGGGGTAAGTTACACTTTCAGTACAGTACATGACGTTTTTATTGTGACCGCTAGAGGGCGGTGRCGTAATTACTAAAAAGTCCTGTGTTGAATGAGTGATTCTATCAGGTAAACTTATTAGCACAGGACACTGACTTAAATCAACAATTTATAAAGGTTACCCCCCATCCTTTACCCATTTTATGATTTTCAGAACCAGTTTTACAAAATTTTAAAACACGTTTTCTAGCGAATCATACTTTGCAGCCAATCAAAACTGACAAAGAAGACGCCCAACAGGAAGTAGAATTAAATACATCTAGCAATAAAAAACTATATTTATTTATTTACAGTGAGAGCGATATAAGACGCAGAATTAACATTTTGTCAACCTTTCCTGCCCGTTTAGCATTTTTYATGGTTTTCCATGGTATCAAAATTATGTTAAAAAGCATTTATGAGTGTTTCATGCCATAAACTACATGTTTGTAAACACGTGTACTATTCTAAATATTGTGTCTTGGTTTGGACTTTTTGTATTTAAATGATTTTAGCACTATTTTTAGACTAATGTCTTAATTTTATTTTGAAACGAACTCTCATTTCCGGTGACGTTCTGCGGCATTTTGGGTGACTCGACGCAACGGTCGCGTCAACACAACAAAATAGTATGTGGTCTGTGAGACACGTAGCACGACACGGGGGGCGGACTGTGGGTATCGGTGTGTTTACAGACTGAAACGACGGGCCCCGCTGATACCCCAGGTCYGCTCCGGGTCTGGATAAAGGCCGCCTGCGTGGAGTTTCCGTGGGTTTGACGAGGCTGAACTTTTCCGGACCCGCACACCAACGGTACGACACCAGCACAGTGCTGACGGGCTGCACGAAAAGCGACGGTAAATCACAGTCCTCCGGGGCCGGGGGTGGCAGACCGGTACGCCCCACCTGAGCGGTGACCCGGCCGAATTATAAAGCAGGACCAGTATGAAAATSCGGCGATGATCGAACTGGTGGAAAGTTGGGAGCGGCGGCGCCTTAAAGGGATGTGTTTAAAAACCAGATGTTTCTGAAAGAGAGTTCGCTTTGAGAGGAGGATCCAGCCGTCCTGGTCGCTTAACTGAAACTTCCCGACATGTGCGAGGTGGCCATGGAGGAGCGGGACAGCGAGATCACGGACATCGAGCGGCGCTCCTCGGTGGAGGAGAGCAGGCTGGTAGTGGTGGCGGCAAACCGCAGACGGGTCCGTCCGCCGCTCAGCGTGGTTCTGGCCACCGGGCTGTACTGCGCCGAGTTCATCACCGCCTCGCTGCTGTGCGTCAGGTACCACAAGTTCAACGACGTCATCTGGTTGGGCTTCACCATCGCCTTCATGCTGCTGCCCGCCGTGCTCATCCAGTTCACTTTAACCTTCATCCACAGAGACCTGGGCCGGGACCGGCCTCTGGTTCTCTTTCTGCACCTGCTGATGCTCGGCCCGGTGATCCGGTAGGTGAGGGTCCAGGGTGGGAAGCAGACTGTTAAACAAAATAACTCTTCTACAGGGGGAGTCCAGTCCTGCTGAAGGGCGKTAGTCCTGCATGTTTTGCTCGTTTCCTGCTCCAACACACCTGACTCAGTGATTTAATTACCTCTTCAGGTTCTGCAGAGGCTTATCACCCATTCATTCAAATGAGGTGTGCTGGGGCAGAGAAACCTCTAAAACATGCAGGATAGGTGCCCAGAACCAGGACTGGACTGTGTCCAGAGCTTCACATCTACAGCCACAGTTCAAATTAAACTGGGATAAAATGCAGATCTCATGAACTACTGTGGAACATAGCAAACACACATTTTAAAATGTGTGGCAGTAATGCTTGTAAAACAGTTGTGTCAGTTAAAGGCTTGATAGAATGCGGAAACAGCTGGAGGATTGTTGCACAACTCGTGTGTTTATGTAATAAATAGGCTCCCCATCAGTCTCCACTGCAGCAGAGACCACTGTTCCTGGTCCAACACGATGTAAAAACATTATAAAACAAACAATACAACAACAAAAACTACACCGCCAGCATAACTCAAAGTCATGACTACAAAACTCCACAAATTAAAATAAAAGACAAAAAACCTTGATTAAATAACATTTCATTTAAGAGAAGTGTTTTGTTTTTTTAAGATAGTTTTTTAATCAAACATAGCTTTGGATGCTCCAGTAACTCATGGCTCTGTATCTGTATCAGACAGAGAAAGGCTCCAGCAGAAGCTCAAAAACATGTTCGTCAGAACCAGACAGGTAACTGTTGAAAAAAAAAAAGACCAAAATGTTTATGAGAAATCAAAATCTTGTGCAAAAATTAAAGATGGCTGCGTAATTGTTTAACCTTGATCTTCAGCCATGATAAACTGAAGCATGAAGTTTGCATGCGTTCTAATGGATCTGGGATGAACTTAAATGATGGAAGGGAACGCAATATTTTGTTGACACTACCAGAGTGCCACGTAGCGCCGYACACTTAATGTAACAAATGTAATAAAACTGCCATTTTAAATATGYTAATTAAACGAACAGTGCAGAAACATGCTAACWGTTGTGCTATTGTTTAATAAATACAAAACATTTGAATCAAACTAAAAATAAACACTTTAGTGAGCTGAAGTGCAATGACATAAGATGACTTGAGTTCACGTCTCTGTTGTTTATGTATTTGTGACTTCAGTAAACCTCTCATATTTAGCTTTGTGCAACGTGTTGTGCTGACTTCTATTAAAATCCTTCATGACAGACGGCGTCTCCAAGCAGAATAAATACAGGTTTGACTTGAAATTCTGTGAACAGATAATCTACTTCCCAAAATAAAAAAAACTAGCTCTTAGATTCCAAGATTGCTTTTTTTTTGGCGTGCAGGACGGACGCCACCACCAGGATGCCAGTTGCCCGTTCCCGGTTCACCAGTCTGCAAAAAAACTGCTAAAAGTAGTGAAGCAGTCAGAGTAATGTTTCTCAGAAGATTTGATCATAATGTCCTGAGATTTCAAGAAATCTGTCAAGTGACATGAAAAAAAAAAAGTCTAAATGGGAAGCCATTTTAATTTTACCATCAGTCTGTCCTAACTGGACGTGCTGCTTCCACTCTCCATTAGCAAAGGGTTAATGGACCACAGATGTCTGCAGAGTCCATTACAGCCCTGCGTCTTTAAGAGCCGACAGGAAGCTGCAGCAGTTGAAGCTTTAATTRATCCGGACAGAATTCTAGAGCTTTCTAGGAGGGTTATTTTCCGCAGTGTATCAGGATCCAGATGGACCGCGTGTTCGGTGTGACGAATATGATAAACTGGTGAAAATAACAGCCTCCCACATCGCAGGACACGCTGAACGAGGAAGGATATTAATAAACAAGAGGCTTGGTGGTGTGCACGTGAATCACTGCAGTTTAGAGCTGCTAACTGTCCCAAAAAGATGACCTTCGTGTGCGTGACTTGTATGACCTCACCTCAGGACAGCAGAACCCGGAGACCTCGGTTCCTAAGACCAGACAGCTGGTCGGATTCAAACCAGAGGTGGGAGTGAAGTTACTCCTTGACTGGTTTCCAGGAATAACTTGAAATTTATTCTTGGAATTTTTGACGATAAGCCTAAAAAATGCAGCCGTTTTAAAACAGGAGCTCTTATATTAGAATAAAAGCCTCTATCACAGTATTATAATGAGCTCTCACATGAACAATAACTTGTAATAAATCACACAATGTTGTGTATTCAAAAAAAAGAAGCCAGAATGTAGTAGCAGTGTGTGAAAAACACAATACACCATGATTTAAAGGATTTTCTTAACTTAAAATCTTAATTCTTTTCTGCAGGATCTTCTTGACCTCTTAGCTTCTGGAGAAGTTTTYGTCTCTTTTTAGGTCCACCAACATTTGAGTCGTCAGATCCAAACTGAACTGTGTCATTCTTAATCTTCTAATTGTTCAAACCTGGTTTTATGTTTTCTGCTGTTTTGGATCTTGTTTCATGACCCAGATTTACCCTCCTACAGTCGTCTGACAGATGGGCTAATGTGACTCGAGGATCTAAGACTTTGAGGTCTTGAAAACCGGTACAAAGCTGCCTGTCTTCATTTAAAAAGTGGACTTCAGTGGGTTAAATCATGACCCTGTGTGTTGCCAACGTTAGGACAAAGCRGGCTGAAGCAGCTCCGGTGTTTGGGAAGTTAAAAAGTGGTCATTTGCATAAAATGTCCCCTGACYCACGGTAACTTGGTGACTGCTGGTGAGTCTCCAATCAGTCTCCAGGACTGCAGTTCATCCAAAGGAGCCATGTTTTAGTGTTTTTCTAACCRAACTCTCACGATCTTTACCCGAGGCGTTTTAAATCTGACACAGCTTTTGGTTTATTTACAGTTTCTCTGACCTTTTGCACGGCCTGAACTTGAGCTGAACTTGCTGGAAGTCCACTCCTGGAAAGATCAACAAGCATTGAGAGTTTCCCTCACTGTTGAGCTTTTTTTTTTCTCACTGCAGAATCGATGAACTCTTCTGGTGTTTGTTTGGAAGTGACTTTAACCTCTCTGGGATTGTTGAACTATATGAGATCATTCATGATGTCTTTCCTCTTTAGCCCTGGATCTGAATGCTCTGGAGCTGCACAGTTCAAACTGTTTTACTTTTTAACCGTGTCACGATATCTAACGCTAACTGAAAGACTTTGTCTTTTCTCTTTAACCAAGCCTCTCTGAACAGGAGTTTACCTGAATGAGGTCACTGCAGGTTGRGGGAGTAGTTTTGTTTAATTATGGTTGAGTTGTACCTCAGTCAGCTGATTTCTGCTGAAGGTACCTGTTGTTTGCAGGAGGTGACACTTTCCTGTTTGAACTTTGCTTTAAGAGTTTCTTCAGAGGTTGAGTCATGAGTCTGCAGTACTAAGTGCGTCTTTTACAGCCTGAACATTTTCTGCGTGTTTGTTGCTGTGAATGAAGTTTTGCAGGAGAAACAAAGGTGAAAATGACAAATTGTTTTACGCCCAGTGGCCTTCCTGGACTCGAACCTGCAGTCTTAGAATTCCATCAGACCACCGAACTACCGCAACCCCTTTATGGTTTCAGACTGTTGACATGAAAGACAATAGGACAACCAGCTCTGAACAGATTTAGAACGTGTCTGTTGAAACAACCGGAGTCACAGGAAGTGCTTTGTGTTGCAAATGAAAATTCAGGAAATGATCTTACAACGAATGCTGAGCTGAAACACCCAGCTGAAGTTCAGCTTGCATGTCAAACAGCTCAAAAATAAAAAAAAAATAAATAAATTTTCTGTCAAAATGCTGAGTTTTAAATTTCTTTCCTGAAATTACCTACAGAAACTGAGGTATTACAGCTAAAACCTAAAAGAAGCCGATGTTAGCTGCAAGCTGAAAAATACTAGCTTAGAGACAGAAGTGGCAAAGACACAACAAAGCTAAATGCAATAAAAGGCTGGCTAAATACTAAAAGAAAGCTAGCTAAAATGGCAAAATGGTAGGTAACATCAAAAGATACAGAAAGCTAGCTAAAAGGTAAATTAAGCAAAAGGCTAAAATAGCTAAAATAAACAGAGCAGGAGCTAAAATCTGAAAGTAGCAAAAGCCTAACTAAAAGCAAAAGATAGAAAAGGCTAGCTAAACGATAAAATAAACAGCCAGCTAAAATAAGCAGAACAGTAGCTAAAAAACTAACGCAATAGCTAAAACCTGACAGCAGTAAAATGGCATCTATAAGTTAAAAATGCAAAAGGCTAGTAAAATGGTAAAAAAGCAAACGGCCAGTTAAAATAAACATTGGTAGCTAAAACAGTGGCTAAACTCTAAATGTAACAAAAGGCTAGCTAAGAGCTAAACATAGCAAAAGGCTGGCTAAAAACCAAAAGTATCAGAAAGCAAGCTAACAGTAGCAAAAGGCTTTTTTAAAGTAGAAAAAGTACAGCTAATGGCAAAATGTGCAAAGGCAAAACAAAAGAAGCTAAAGTAAGCAAAATGGCTGATTAAAAAGTAAAACAGTAGCTAAAATCTGAAAGTAGCAAGAGCCTAACTAAAATCAAAAGATGCAACTGACTAGCTAAAAGGTAAAATATTCAAAAGGCTAGGCAATAAAAARGCAGAGCGGTAGCTGAAATAAAACAATACCACAACGGTAGCTAAATTCAGAAAGTAGCAAATGCTAAAAATGAGCTAAAGAATCAAAAAGACTAGCTAAACGCTAAGAGTAGCAGAACAGTGGGTAAAAACTAAAAGTATACACAGATGAGACAAATGTTTGAGGGACTTGAACACATCTGAATGTATTTCTCTGGTCAAAATATTTGTAAATAAAGTTAAATATTAAGGTATAAAAAAATACAAAACCTAAAAATCACAGCAACCACCTCCTGAAYGAGCTGAACGTTTTGATTTATGATTGAGTAAAATAAAATATGCAGAAGTAGCTCAGCACTGATAAAGAGCATTTAAACAAAAAAAAGCACTTCACCAATCAGGACTA